ACTTACAAACAAATTTGAGAAGGTAGACATTGACTTTCTAGGTATGTAAATTCCTAGAAATGAAACGTTTGTTCTAGGATGAGAGGCTATAGACTATAAAATCAAAGGGATGGGTCCATGCTCAAAACTTTCCCAGTGAGCATGCCATGAATATTTCCAAGGGATTTCTAGCTAATCTAAGCACTAAACCTGGCCCTATTGATGACAAAAAAAAAAAAAAAATTTTTTTAAGTGGGTGACTTGGGTAAGTCACTTAATTTCTGCAGCTCTCAGTTTTCTCATTTGTTGAAAGAGGAATTAAATCATATATTTCCGCCTAGACTGTGGGCAAAAGTGACGTGATTGTCCACCAGTCTGAACTGAAGAAGCAGTGTTCTGCATAAGGATCAGCTGAATTACAGTGAAAATGTTTTTCAAGGATGAGAGTCAAAAAGAACTGTGAAAGGAATTGCTTATGTGTGATGCTTCCCATTTTAATGTTTTCCTATATTCAGAGCAGATTTTTAAATATTCAAATGTAAATCATTCACGTGGCACATGCACTTACAATGTATGCATTTAACTGAAGTGAATCATCAGTCTATTATTATCACTCAACCAGCCCTATTCTGTTGGATAAAGGAGAATATTAGTAACAACTGAGGGTCTAAATCATATAAGCAAAGCCAGCACTAAACAAGCTGGTGAGCCCCTTAGGCTGTGTCCCCAAATCCTCCTAGACCTGAAACCTATATGTCTTGCTCTCTCATGCATGCACACACACACACATGCCTGGAAACATCTGCATTTATGTTTATTCACACTGACTATGGCTGCCTAATTCCCTAGACAATGCTGCTAATAGTTCTCTTGGGCAGATAACAGTCTCACTAGGCCTCAATTTCTCTGTCAGTAAAAACTAAGTTTCTTCACTAGAACTAACAGCTCTTACAACCCTAACATTGTATTGTATGTCTATGCTTTTGCTTATTCTTTGGCAGAAGTATTGGAGCTATTTATATACCTTATCCCATGTAATTCTGAGAATCATGTAATTCTTAAGATGTTCCAGTGAGTATTTTTGTTATTATGATTCTATTTTAACAGATTATGAAACAGATTCACCTACTTCATGCATCGTGTACATAGTAAGTGGCAGCAACAAGCTTAGAAACCAGGTTCTCTATGCTCTCTAATCAATCTGCATTGCATCAAATCAATGAAGTCTCCATGTGACAATCAGGGGCTGGCTGCCCACCCTTCTCTTCTTTATTCAGAGTGGTCTTCCCCAAGGAGGGGGGTTATATGGGAAAGCCCTCTAAACTATTCCCCCCTCCATAGCCAGGAGACTACTCTGAGTTGGAAAACAGGATGCAGACTACTCATGGACCAATGACAATTCTGGCAGTCAAGATGTCACAGGTGACTAGCGAGAGACTCTGAAGAGGTGTCATTAGAGCAGGGGGCACCAGCACATGGCCAGAGGAGCAATCTGGTTTGAGACAAAGGGGGAAATTCTCAGCAAGAGGCACATCTCCCATTCTGCCAGCTGCAGACCTGGTTTTCCACCACTCCTTGCTCCCCAGACAAGACCATACCTCTCTATATCTATTCTTCCATGAATGAAGCCCACAGGAACTCAGCACAGGCTTAGGCTACTTGCAAGCTAGACGTGGTCTTAAAATTTATCTGATCTGCTCTTCTGACTCGCCCACTGCTCCCCTCAGCAGTGTATTTCAGTCAATCTGCCTATTCTGTACCCCACTCTGTGTCTGATGAATCCTCTCACCTCCCCACACTTTTGACCTGTACCCCAGTTCTTGTATGCATAAATAAATAAATCTTTAAAAAAATTTATCTGGTCTAGACCCCTCATTTGACAATAGAGAGAAGTAACCGGCTCAAAGTCACAGATTAAGACCTGTGCAGGTCTTAATCTTAAGTGCAGATTAAGACCCAGGCTTCCCGATCCCCTCCTCAGTGTGCTCTTTCCCTTGTCCTTGAAAGAAGTGAGAAGCTGAGGCAGGAAACCTGTTGAGTGGGCCCCCAGACCCAGCACTGACACATGTGCTTTCTAGTCATTCCCATTTGTCAGCACCCATCTCTGGCATCTTGTCTGCACATTGGGCAGCCTTAGCCTTTGCCTTCTAATATAGTTACATCTTCATTCTCCTTCCTTTACTTCTCTGTTACCCATTTCATGCTCCCTCAGAATTCTGAGCTCCATACTAACCCTGTTGCACACTTTTTTGTGCTTTTTGAATTAAATTCTGCTGACTCTAGCTTTTTCAATTTAACCAGCAATCCTCTAACAACCTACATTGTCACCCAGAATCCATAGTTCACATTAGAATTCACTATTGGTGTGTATATTCTGTGGATTTGATTAAGTGTATAATGCTATATGTTCATCATTATGGTGTCTAAGAGAATATTTTCACTGTCTTAAAAATCCTTGTACTCTCGCTATTCATACCCCCACCGTAATTTTTTTTTACAAAGTGAACACCTCTGTAACTAGTGCCTCGGTCAAGAATCTAAACATTAACATTGGCCTAAAGACACTCTTGTGCCCCCTTCTAGTTACCATTTGCCTCTAAGGGTAGCCACCATCCTGACTTTTGCCAGCATAGATTGCTTTTGTTGGGTTTGTATTTTATATAAGTGCAATCATACAGGATGCATTTTATTGTGTCTGGCTTCTTTCTCTCTAATTAGGTTTGTGAGATTCATCCATATTTTTGTGTATAGTTATAGCTTTAGCCAGCAGTTTTAATCCTTGAAATCTAGTTCAACAAATATTGTTCAGCCAAGAACTGTGCTGGGGCTGAAGATACAAAAGCAAATAAGGGTAAGTCCCTGCTTCTGTAGTAATGACTAGACTTTAATGTTAAGTGAATTTCTCTTTGTTAAACAAATATTTACTCAGTGTCCACCATGGGACAGACACTATTAAGGTTTCTAGGGATAAACAATGAACAAACAGATAAAAATTCTAGTGGAAATCCTCTGTTTTGTTTTCTTGATGTGTGGGCAATTTCTGCCCACTAATAGCCATCTCCTACTCTGTTTGGCATCTGATTCAAAATAAGGGAAACTAGTGATGGAAGCTATTTCTTCTGGCTACTTCGAGTGTAATTATGAAGTTGCTAGTCCTACGATGGGATATTTTGCAAAGCTGTGTACGTGGCAGATATTTCTCTGTATCTATTTCTGCATTAATCCATTCTATATACCTGGGATACTCTCTATACAGAGTGAAACAAACACGTGAGGACTCTAAGGAAGCCTTTGGATGTTAGCTTACAGACAGAGCAATATTGTTTTCTAGAAACATGAAGTGAGAAGAGTGAATGGGCAAAGTTGTAGCAGAAATCATAAGCCTTTGAATTTGTTTTAATAAATATGAGCATATAATGTGTATCACTGTTCATTAGTTTTGACTTTTCAGAGTCCAGTGAACTACTTGAGCATAAAGCTTGATGGTGGAGGGAGACAGGATAGAAGAAAATCCAACATTACTCTAAGATCAATAGCTTAGGAAGAAATAAAAGCAATCATCTAGCTTTGTTTGGTTGCTACTTCCCCACCCCTATTTTTGAGGAAAATTTCAAGTATACATAAAGGTAAAAAGAGTAAAATTCACTTCCATGTCCTGATATTTCAGCTTCAAACATTATCAATTCATGTTCAATTCCTCTCTGACCCCTTACTGTTCCTCTTCTGATTATTTTGAAGAAACCCCAGATGTCAAATAAGTTATTCATAAATGTTCAGAACGTAAGATCTCCTAGTTTTTATCCTCATAGTTAAGAGGCTCAAAAAGGAGGTAAAGTCACTAAATTAAGTACTGGCAGTTATTTTTAGTTTTATATTTCTAAAGTAAAAACAAGAAAGTTTACTAACAAAATATTGGGCTTTGCACAATATGATTAAACAATATGATTGAGACATGAATTGTCAAATTATGTCAAACATTTGGGCTAGACCATGACCATGGTCATATTTTAAAAAGTAGTTATAAGTGGACCATGAGGTTTCCCACATACAAGAACCTTATAATGTAGACTGAATATCACTTGAGCCTTTATAAATTTGTCATCAGTACATTTAAAACTTTTCAGCTTATGTCAACCCTTTATCCAATGAGTTAAAAAAAAATAGTACTCACTCTTAAGGAATGCTTGCTATTATTTGGTGTATCACCACCTCTTTGAAGACTCCCACTCAAAAAATTAGAAAATTATTTAAGGAGTTCAACAAGGTATGGGGGCTTGTTCAACAAGGTGTGGTTGATGTTCCTTTACAGCATTAATTTTATTTATTTATATATAATTATATATTTTTTAATTTTTAAAACATCCTGGTTTATTTTTTCTATCATTAATTTTAAAATGATATCCCTGTGGTTTTGAAATTGCAAATAAGTTTGTCCAACTGAAAGTGTTCTTTTCAACTGTTTAATATTAAAATGGGTCTCAGACTCTTCCTACTTTTCATTGTTTCTCATTTCAGCAGGTTCTATTTTCAAAGGCAGTTAGTTGATGCTCAACCAACCAGTGTCGATGGTTTATCTTCATGAGACCACGACACAATGGGGCTTGGAGCTGCTTTTCTAGGTTTTCTAGGCTTCAGACTCTGACACACCATTGTTTGGGCTGTTCAGAATATTCTACTGGTTTCCAGAACAAAAGAGAAAGAGTCTGTTAGTGTGTTTGTCATGAAAATGTATAATCTATTGATTTGCTGATCATACTTGCCCAATTTTTCCCAAAACATTACCCAGGGCAAGTGACATCCATCACCAGAAAGAGGGAGGTACAAGGTACCCCCATGAGCATTTGATGAGGAGACAATTGAGATATTAAAAATTGCAAAAATTACCTGAATAAACATTATAGGAGGCACACCTCGAGACATTGTTCTGTATACAACTCTACTCCTTTCTCTAGGTTATGAAAGCAGCAAAGATTGACAATCGGTCAGTTTAACCATTTTCATTGTGTACTTTTTCTGGGCAGATTATTCACATCCAATTCCTTTGATGTGATCAGTGATGATGCCTTTATTGGTCTTCCACATCTAGAATATTTGTAAGTAAAAACTTTTTTTTAAACAAAATGATTCAGAACCAGTGATCTCAGGGTCTTACAGCTGTCTGACAAAAAAAATATTATAATCTCTTGCAGATTTATAGAAAACAACAACATCAAGTCCATTTCAAGACATACTTTCCGGGGACTGAAGTCTTTAATTCATCTGTAAGTATGAGTGTTACTGTTACTCTTTAACTTGATAATGAATAATGCAAGTTGGTAAACTGTGCTTAGGGCTTCCTCTTCTGCATATCCATAGAATTTAAGAGACCTGAATGATTTCTTTCCATGTGCACTTATCATCTCTCCCTGCCACTTCACACAGTGTGTATCAAAAAAAAAAAAAAAAAAACCTGATTCCTATTAATATGATTATTCTAAACCAACCACAATTAGGAAAACAATCTTAATTGTGCAGGAAAATTGTGTACATCATTATTCACTTCATAGATTGACTACATAAGTGAATTCAATATTTACTGTTTTTCTTTATTCTGTGGAAGCCCAAACTTCATACATATTTATTTTTTTATTTTTTTAAATAATAAATTTTATTTTTATATTCCCCATACAATTGCAGCCCCCCCATTCTGACCCCAATCTCTCCCCTCCCACCCCCGCCCCCCCCTAAAAGTGTCTCTGGTTCATAGTTTTTTGTTGATTTTGATTTTCACTTTCTTATAGTTATTCATTTTCCTGATCCCTTATTTAAGTTTTCTAGATTCCTGCTATGAGTGAGACCATCCGGTATTTTTCTTTTTCTTTTTGGCTTATTTCGCTGAGCATGATCCCTTCCAGCGCCATCCATGTTGCTGCAAATTGCATGTGTTTATCTTTTTTGAATGCTGAGTAATATTCCATGGTATATATGTACCACATCTTCTTGATCCAGTCATCTATTTTTGGGCATTTGGGTTGTTTCCAAAGCTTAGCTATTGTAAACAGTGCTGCTATAAACATAGGGGTGCAGGTGTTCTTTGGAATTGATCAAACTTCATATATATTTAAACATATAACATATAACCACAAGTAAGGTCTATACAGTTGCTGAACAACTAGGTTATAAATGAATTATTTAGTTATGGTATAGGTGAGTAGAGCTAGATCAGGCATTCTTAGCAGGAAGCAAATTTGCCTCACAAGGAATGTTCAGCAATATTTAGAGACACACTTGGTCATCACATCTGCAGTGTGTAACTGGGTTCTAGTGGGCGGAAGGCCGAGATGCTCTTGACAATACTGCAATGCACAAAACAATCCCCACAACAAAGATTATCCAGCCTAAAACTATGGCGCCAGGGTTGAGAAATGCTGGACAACACAAAACAAATAACTGTTTCTTTTAGCCTACCCCAACCCCTACGCGCGCACACACACACACATGCACGCACACATGCCCATACATATACAAATGTATTTTAAAGGAAACTAGAAGGGCATGGGAATAAAAGGCACTAACATTTATTAAGTACCTACCATTATGTCGGCCATTATATATTACATGAGTTTTCTTAATCCTCTCAATAATCCTGCCAGATAGGCACATCATCCCCATTTTAGAAATGAGAAAAGACTTGGAGAGGATGTATGATTAGTGAACTGAGTAGTTTTGAAACTATAACATCACCTCAACTGCTAAACTGCAATGCTATTCATTTAGTCAACTACTGTTTCTCAAGTACCTAATATATTTCTCAGTAGGATTAGGTAAAGATTTAAGAAATCCAAAAATCGTTCTGGCAATTTAAATGTGTTCCCTCCCAATACCCCATTCCCAGGTCTGTTCTGGGCCCCAGACACAGCAGGGAACTAAGCAGACAGACCCTACCTACCCTTTTAGTCTGATTCTAATGTGTCCCCATCGCGCTATATCTGCCAGGCCCCTTCTCTGCTGCTGTTTGATTTGCAGCAAAGTGAAGGTAGGGGGCAAGAACTGTTGGCCATGTATTTTACAAAAATCATTATACTTTTCAAGCTTCTGTATATAGTCATTATAATAAGGCCAGTGTTTGCAATGCTGCTGTGCATGTCAGTGATATAATGTGAGGCAAAAATGGCTGTGTATGGAATGGATGTTATGCAATTTGATCACAGAGGCAAATACTGCCAAACCTCATTTTTCAGACAAAAATACATTTAAGAAATATATATATGGAAAGAGAAATGGAAGTTCAGGACTCAAATTAAGATCTACTCAATTCACATAAAATCCCATACAGCATAGCCTCTCTCCAATGCTCTGCACCATGAGGAGCTGAAGGAAGGATGGAAAAATCTAGGTGTCCTCTCTAATTACCTGTGATAGAAATCCTACCATGTCCTTTAATTTACTCCAGCCTAAAGATCTGGGACTTTACCCAGACTCTGCACAGAATAGGAAAAAATTTTCTACCTATTTTACCTGGAAGATAAGGAGGGAGAGAAAGAGGGACAGGGGAAAAGAAAAATGTCTGTACAACACCTTAGTGAAGAAGCCATTTTGTTTGACCAGAGCCTATTATATCCATCAAATTAAATGGGAAATAAAGTTTGAGTCCTAAAGAGGCCCTTTATTTAGAGGTATGAAGACAAGAAGAGGACACTGGTATACAGCATGTGTTTAATATTTAAAACTGTTCAAGTTCAAGGGAACACCAAAAGCAGCTTTCAGAAAGAGAAGCATGAATCTTAAGTGTCAAACAGACAGTGGAAGTGAAGTCCCACCTTTCTAATTTGGTGCTAGAGAGGGAAAGGTGTTCCGCAGAAACAGGTAAAAGTTGCCTGAATGAAATGACCTTTAAGGTCTCTTGCATCTTTACTTAACATTTAGGTTGACTCATATGGCATTGCCAATGTTAGAATGTTTTCATCTATAAAAATGGCAATGCCATATGGTTCAGCCTAAATAGTCTCTAGGATGTTCCACACAAAGACAAATAAGATCCAGTTCCAACCTGCAGGAGCTCAGTCTAGCAAAAAGCATTGGATAAACAAATATTTTCTCACCAAGCACCTTTGTTCCCTAATTGCTTTCTTTTCTAACTATGCTGGCCTTCAAAGCATAGTTCCTTCCAGTGTTTCTTCTTGCTCCCTTTCCTTCCTCCCTCCCTTTACTCATCCTTCCCTTCCTGCCTTCCTGCCTTTTATCTCTTCTTCCTTACTTTAAGGAAACATAGGTAGGGAGAATTTGAAACCCAAATGTCCCCCTGACTACTTAGTATATCAAGTTCATTTTCCATTATTTACCAGTTATATATATAAATATTATTTGTTTGAGTCATTAATTTCCTTTTAAAGATTTGAGATGCCACAATGTGCCTTTCTTCACATCAAACCAATTCTTCCTGAAGATTAATATACAAGCAGTGAGGAATCAGCACCTCCCTTCTAACCTGCATATACTTGCAGGAAGAGTTTACAAAGCTTTTTCAAATTCTTGACCTCATTACAGTCTCCTGATGACCTTGAAAGAGATAGGACAGTAGCCCTACCGCTCATGAATGAATGCGAACATAAAGGTACACTTTGAATTTAAGTTGCTCCCTTAAGTAAGTAGTGGTAAAGCCAGAGGGTCTCAGGTCTTTAGTGAGTTTTAGCAGGACCAGAAGCTTTAATTGAACTGATCGGATCCTTCAAGGAGTCCTAACCTCACTCTCTGTTTTCAAATGCAAATAGTTGGACTTAGGCACATGCTTTTAGATCCAAATGGCTCCCACTCTGGTCTAACATTAAAGCTGCTCCAAGGGGCCTGCCTGAGCATTATATAAGTTCACTTAGCTCTAAAGAAGCAATGATCACTTTCTGGTGCATATCTCAGCAGACATATCCCCTAAAAAGACATTAACAGATGACTTAAAAGTTACTATGGGGCCTCCCCAGTGGCGCAGTGGTTGAGTGCTGGGTTGCGAAGCTGCCCGCAGCCTCTTTGGCACTGGTTTGATCCCCGGCTGCTCCCCGGCCACCAGAGGAGGGTCCCACATGGTGCGCAGACCTCTCCTGCCGCCTGCTGCTCCCCTCAGCAGTGTACTTCGGTCCTTCTGCCTGCTCTGCTCCCTGCTCTGGCTCTGGTGAATTCTCTCACCCTCCCGCGCTTCTGACTGTACCCAGTGCTTGTATAAAGAGCTCCTTAAATAAAAATCCCTACAAAACTAGTCAAATCCTGGGACCCTCTCTCAATTACTTTATTTTGAATTATTGACCTAATGTTACATATGTGTAACTTTAATATTTGAATAGTTTATATAGTTCATCAAGTATGATTTATTTTTTCCCCAATGACTGTATCACTTTTGAAATCAGGGAGGGGATGAATTGGAAATATCTTAAATATTGGTTTCTGTTAGTATCCTTGAGTTTGTTAGTAATGACAGCCCTGGGCATCACATAGTGTCACTGGGACTGAGGTGCCTATGTGTCCCCATTCGGTTAGGCAGGATGTCATCCACAATGGCTTGCATGTAAAGAAGCAGTGATGGGGTGCTCAGGTGACCCCAGCACCAGAATGCCTGGTGCAAAGCCTCATCTTACCCATTGATGGATGTGGGATGTCAGGCAGTTCACTTGGACTCATTGACCTTAGATTTCTTGTGTGTAAAGGTGGTGATCATAGTCATCTGTAAAAACAGAATGGGGAAGAGTAAGGTACTTAGGAGAACGTAGGTCCTAAGGTTGTCATGAGATTAAATAAGTTAACACTCATTCTCATGGTGTGGAGTAAGGACCATTATGTAGGAATAAACTGAAACTCACTACCTAACCACCTAACTTTCAATGGTCCTGTTCAGGACAGCAAATGCTGCAATGTATTTATCCCTTTTAAACATTTTGTATGAAATTAAAATAACCATTCTTGAGACACCACAAATTCAGTGAGACACCAGCTCAAGCTGAGAATCTGCATTGCAGGGATGTTGGGAGCATCCCAGATGGCCGTGGGCGGTGCTTTCTTAGCAGCAGTGCCCAGTGGCACTGAAACAAACGTGCTGTCTGAGCCAGTTCGGTCTGCCTTAGAGAGAAGACTTTCTAGTATGTTCTATAGTCATAATCAGAGGTTTTCTCAGGTAAGTCAGGGAAACACCACAGTGGAGGAAATGGTCACGGTTTCCATTAGAAAGGAAAGACTGACCACCACTGAGAATGTCTAACCCTACTCATCTAGTCTCAGGGCAACTGGATGTTTGGCTGGGCAGTTTCTTGGGTGTTTCAAAGGATAGTTCTTAGGTAGGCTTTAAATCAGAACCTAAAGATGATACTTAGGTGAAAGCACTTTTAAAAGAGCCTCCATGTTGCTTTGGAATTACCACCATAGTGAATCTAAGAGGGGGAAGGTCCTTTGTGAGCGGTGGGTCCATGTGATGGGCGGTGGGTGTGTGTGTGTGTGTGTGTGTGAGTGACACTGGTTCCCACCAGCCTTTGCAATTTCTCCCTGGCTCAGTGTCTTGGTTTAAGGGGCCTATGAGACGTATCCTCTGCTCTTTTCTTTATCCACATTGGTCTCCCCCACTCTTATTCACTCCTGCCTGAATCATTCATTCACTCATTTAAAAATACCAGTTGAGGATTTACTTTGTGCCAGGTACTAATGCTGTAGCAGTAAGAAAAACATCCTTCCACCATGCACTACAGAATCATCCTAGAAAAAATTAACAGTGGTTAATTAACAGAAATATTTTCTCAAACCTCTGCTGGCTCTGACTTCACTCCTCTCTACACTCCACCCCCATCAGCTAGTCCAGTACATTCCTCCCCCCTAGAAAAACATGTGGCCAATGTGACTTAAAGTATCTCCTCTTTTAGTGTCATTTTATTGTTAATAAATATGAAGCCATAAACCTCTCATATTCAAAGGTGATTAAAGAGCTAGAATAGAACTTGGAGATCATTTAGATCAAGTGACTGTTCGCATTGTAGAAAAGACAACAGTCAGAGTTCAAACCCTGACAGACCAAACCTGGTCAGGTCCTTTACACCTCATGCTGCTACTTGGGTTCAGAGACACCTCAGGCAAGGGGTAGACTGAGGCTGTAGGCTTATAAGCCTTCAGTCATATCCTATAGAAAGTCTTTCTCCTGACCACTTGGGTGGCTACCTCACTCCTTCATCCCTCTCATTTTTCTTCCCATAATTCCTAATAGTGCCCACATTTAGTTTTTAAATCCAGCTAACTTTCCGCTTCAGCTGAAGTGGAAGGGAGTCCCCCACACCAGTTCAAGCTTACATGCCATCACACTCTGGGAGGAGAGAGAAGAACTAGCATCCTGGGGGGGTCTGTAGCATGGCTCTCTGGAATCACTTGCTTTCCATATTAATGTCCCCATGAGATGGACTGCATTAATGACTGAGAGAAAGTATGACAAAATCATAACAGCAGTTGCCTTGCCAGGATTATTATTTTGTTTCCTTTAAAAAAAATAATTTTTGCACTTTCCAAATGTTCTTGAAGTGAAGAAACAACAATTACTATTGTGTGTGTGTGTATATATATATACATTTATATATACATCAGTCACATGTCAATAAAAGATGGACATTTAAGAAAAGGAGACATACAGTTCTCTTTACTCAAAAAGGTAGAGAGAACAGATGATTTCACCCCCCTGAACTGATCATTTAAAGGTACATAGGTATATATTTCTACTAGTGTGTTGTTGACATCAATAACAAAATAAAAAATTAGTCTAATGGTCTTGATTATCTAATACGAAGCTTAAAAATTTACCTGAAGATACAGAATTTCCCCTGGAATCCTTTCCGCATATGTATGTATAGAAACATTAGAATTTACCTGTGTTCATTCTCACAGTAAATGATACCAGTACTTTTTAGTCAGTTTTGCAGATGTTGAGACCCTAATCTACAGAGGTTAAATTACATCAGCTAAAGACACACTCCTGAGAGTGATAAAGCTCAAATTTAACTCCTCATCTACCAGGAAGATACTAGCCCCTGACTATGAAGCAACGCAGGAGTGAGTGCTGCCACCAGTTTTACAAAAAAGTACAAAACATATTTCTGTGGAAGTGAAGGGGATACTCTGTGAAGCTGGGGTGGAATGGGAAGAATGAAGAAGAAAGAAGAGACTGAGGAAAGTCCATAGATTAAATTTTCCATTTTGTTTTCTCATGGTAAAATTCAATGCAGAGATGGAATCTAAAGAATCATAATCCTAACATCAATCCTAAAAGAACCATAACCCACGAAATGCTATCTCAACACTTCAGCTGTTTACATAACCTAGCAGTCACCTGATCTTATTCTATTCACCTTTTTTTTTGCACACAGACCAATGCTGAGCAGCTTCAGGGGACATCATGGGATCTGCCCCTTTTCCTTCCTGGCAGCCCTGACCCAGAGCCCTCAGCAGCTCTCTCATGTGAACTCCCACCTGCTCCCAGTGGCCCCCAATGGTTTGCAGAGGCTCCAGGCCATCCTCAAAGCTGAGTTTCAGCTGATGCCAGGAGCCCGCAGAGGTGACTCAAGCTCGGGCTGACTGTAATCCTAACTTCCCCAGAGGATGAGGCCTGAAGCCATGTGGGAATCTTGCAAGAAAGAAGGCAGATCCATCTTATAAAAAGACGACCATTCAGGGTTCTGAGTCCTGATTTACACTCTAGCTTATAATGTTGGGACTTCAGTAATAGAACCAAATGATAGATATAAATAAGGAGATAGCTCTTCAATAGTCTTCTTCAGTAGCATTTTATTATACAACATACATGGACAGTCATGGCCATTTCATCGTGTGGTCAGTAGCCTAAATCTGTTGCTTGGGCAAAGGAGACACAAAAACCTTCTTCTTTCCTTTCTCTTCCTCCTTCCAGTTGCTCTTTATCCAGAGTGGTCCAGTTGCTAACTGCACTACTTTTTTCCAACAACCTCATGAGATGAGGTTGTTACCTCCATTTCCAAATAGAAAAACTGGACAAGATCCATAACCAAAGTCACACAGCCAGTCATTGGTGGTCAGGATTCAAACCCATCTCAGAAAGACTCCAAAGCCTCACCTTCACAAAATGAACTGTCATCGAGACAGCATTCTGATTCCCTTTGTTCCATTCCAGCATTCATTTAAAAAAGTTTTCCAACCTCATAGCAATTTCTGAAACTCAGAAAAAAAAACCATAATTAACTTAAAATTGATTTTTAAAGTCTTGTATGTCTGCCCCAAGAAACTGTATATTTTTTTTAAGATTTATTTATTTATGCATACAAGAACTGGGGTACAGGCTAGAGGTGTGGGGATGAGAGGATTCGCCAGAGGCAGAGTGGGGAACAGAACAGGCAGATTGAGCAAAGTACACTGCTAAGGGGAGCAGTGGGTAAGTCAGGAGAGGTCTGCTGTGCTATGTGGGTAGCTCCCTGCCCGGGGATCGAACTCCCATGCTGCAGTGGCTGCGGACAGCTTCATAGGTTGTGACTTTAACCCCTTGTGCCACCAGGGAGGCCCAAGAAACTGTATATTAATTATAGGAGGTGGAAGACATAGAAGATTTCTAAGATTGTCTTAAAGGAAATTTGAGAGAATTCCGCTTTGGAGACCAATAGCACATGCTCTTTTGCTTTAGATTTTTATTATGAAAAAAAAACTAACAAAAGTATATGTACAATACTGATTTAAAAAAGAAAATGACTACGCCTACAATGTGTGATGTATCTCATCATACAGCACCCAATCTTACTTATGTCCACATTAATACAGTATTGACACATTTCCCTTTCCTTGATACTAATGGTACGATTTCCTACTTTGTGACTTTGATTAGAATCATGCTAGTGATTCATGGAAGAATAGAGAAAGCAAAGACAATTCCTGTGACAATAAGGCAAGAACTGAAGGAAAGGGAAGGGAGGGCATGACTAAAGAGGGTGCATGGATGGGTTTATATGAGAAAGCTATTTTTTGAGGTGGAGTGAATGGAGTTAAAAGGAAAAAGTATTGAAATAAGGTGTGCACTTTGGAAAGAAGAATCGATATGCTGGTGAAGGGACAGATTGCACTAGAGCTATTGGTACTAATTGTTGGAGGATGAGCCTGTTCTGGAACAAGAGAAGAAGAGGGAGGAAGGAAAGATACTTGTGTTAGGGGGAAAGGATGTCCTGAGAACTCCATACAGGTTTTGTGGCCTCCACCCCGACTCCAGACCAAAGCCATCAAGACACTGAAAATGACAAATCCCATCATCCCCAAAGAGTGGGTTGCTGGGACCTAAGGGTCAGGTTAAGCAGCCAGGTTTGGTATAAAACCAGACATGTGGGCCTTGGGTTGCACTCTTGGCCTCATGGCTCTTGGTTCTTTGCCAGCTCTCAGCGTGCCATTGGGATTCCAGGTCAGCGGACTGGGTAGGGTGCATTCATGAGTTTATCTCCCTCTTTTCTCCCCGAGTTTATTCATTTCTTCATTTTTCCTTTCTTTTGTAAATAAAACTTTTATTAACCTTTTGTGTGTGCCTGCAGTTGAGTATTAATAAGCCCCTTTTAAGCGCATGGGTGAGGACCCACTTGGAGATGGACATTGTCACTAGTTCAATTAGTCACCCTTTAGAGACATCTCCTAGACTGCACCCCTGAGAATGTGAATCTCATATTCTCTCTAACTAGGAAGATCAGTGCCCAGTCATCATTTTGTGGCTGGTATTTTGCTGTTTTCCTTTTTTTAACCATGATATATGATACATATGTTTAGCTATACATACTGAGTAAATGTTGAAGCAAAAAGGCCAGGATTTGAAAATACAATAGCAGGAATCTTAGTTTCTTAGAAGAAAAAAAAGTACCACCAGTAATTTAATATAGTCTGGAAAGAACAAAAGGGACTCATAACTAAGCTTTATCATAAAATGTATTTAGTTCATGTCTACAGTTGACATTTTTTTTTTTTTCCAGGAGCCTCGCAAACAACAATCTCCAGACACTCCCAAAAGACATTTTCAAAGGCCTGGATTCTTTAACAAATGTGTAAGAGGACCTAAGAAATCACTCACTAATTAATTAATTTGCAGTAATTAACAGAAAAGATGGATATTGATAATTAGAATTTTTAATTGACTTTAAAATTAAACTAGAAATTTAAATTGACAAAATTTAAATTTATTTGGACTAAATTTTGAGTCTTTTATGGTATTTGCATTGGAGATTCTGAGGATACTGTGCCCAGGCATTCCTTTGATAAGATGTGTATCTGTATGACAGGGAGGGATGATAAGGGACTTTGAGGGGGTGGGAAGAAGAGGCCCAGATAGAAATTTCAAGATGCCTTTTTTTTTTCTCGTGAGATCCAGGAAATGGGGCTACAAAAGAAAACATAAAGGAGTCTGGGAAACTGACAGAGATGAAAGGTTACACCCAAGGGTTGGTCAGTCAATAGAGAAATGGAGCAGGAAGTGGGGGAAGGGAAGAAAGTTTGCCTTTTCTCATTAGACTGAACAACAACTCTAGGCTTAATCCCCAGGAATTTGGCTTAAGCCCCAGGAAGGGAATGAACTTAATTATTTTTGACCCTTTTTCAAACAAAAGAGCTTTCAAACTTTGACTTTTAAGCCTCAGAGTGAAAGATCTTTGTAAGGAATTTGTATATTTTGCTGTAAGCAAAGCAAGTAATATATGCCAAACCCTCTCAAAAGCAATCTAGTTTCATTAAGTGCCTTCCACAACATTAAAAGGGAATTGAAATGCCATAGGTAGAATAAAAGAACAAATGAAAGGATATATGAAAACAAAAGGTTTCTTTATTATTCAGGTACTTTACTATAGCTATATATTCCAAACAACTCTTCTTCCATTACAAAAAAAAAAAAATCTGAGTCAAGTATTTTCTTGAAAACCCAGTATTTAACTTCAAATCAGTAAGCTAATGAAAAACTTTCTTTGTTCCTTGCAGTATTCCTCAGCCCCTCCTCCATGCCTATTACCCCAATTCCTGAATGATGGTTTATTTCCAAGAGAGTGCCAGGATCAGGACACTTCCAAGAGTCTCCAGCAAACCATAGTTATCCACTCTGGTTTACAATAGTTCAGAACATTCTGGGTCAGAATATTCTTGGGAGATGAGGTCAGTTCTGGGAAGATCTTGGAAGTCAGATGATACTGTTAGTGGATACTCCACAACAGACTTGGGGATACAAGTCTTGGGGATACTTTTGGGGAGACCCTCTGGCCCACCATTGGTCCACCTATACCCTTCGCTAACAAGAAAGAACAAAACTATTCAAATTGGTTTAGTCTCTCCAAAGAATCCCACAGTGGGTTTGGCCCGCTGGGTTTATTCTCATATGCCCAAATCAAGAATAACCTATGAAGTACAAGGACCTATGAAATCTTGTCTCTTTTAGCAGATTTCTTGGTTTTCTTGAATATATCCCCTAAAAAATACTTTTAAATGCTTGAGCATTTAAAAAATATTTGTGTGCATGTGAAGGGTAGGCAGTACCTATCTTAGGAATTCTGTGTGACCAAGAAGAGTTTTAGAAAGGAGATGGAATTTCTGAACAGAAGCAAAGCAAATAAACAGAGAATTGGTGAGCTGGAATCACACATGGAAAGTTAAACTATACTGTATAGTTTATTACAGACACGAGCTATTATATGTCAGCATTAACTTTGCTTTGTTGAAGTCATTTCCTATTAAAACTGAATTTGTAGAGCATGGAATAAGATTAGAATTAATTATGTCTTTGAGGAAGAAGAAAGGAAATAGTTCACTTGATTTAATTAAATATGATACAATAGTCACTATATTCTATTCTCTGGACCTGAACTGGCCAATATGGCAGCCACACATGGTCCCTCAGCACCAGAAATGTGTTCAGATGAGAAGTGGAACTAAGTAAAATTAAAAATTAAGTAAAAAACTAAATTAAAGTTTTAAAACTCAGTTCAATTATTAGAAAGCTTTTAAGTATGTATGACAACTTGGGTATTTGAATCTGTTTTTTTCAACTAAATTTTATTACATGGAAATATAGATCATATATTTCTGAGGAAAATTTAGCAATTTCTATTTCTATTTGAGATATATAGTAAATATTAAATACACACTAGACTTCAAACACAGTATATAAAAGAATGACAAGCATTGCATTAATAATTTTATATTAAATACATGTCAACTTAATATTGTATATGCATCAGGTTAAATAAAATATACTATTAAAATTAATTTCACTTGCTTCTTTTTTTTACTTTTTAATTTACCTATAGGAAATTGCAAATTATATATGTGGCTCATGTTATATTTCTATGGGCAGCACTGCTTTAGATGAGCTACCTACGTTGGAATTCAAGAGGGAGTAAATTATAAAGTTCCACTGACTGGAGTAGCGCTCAAGGGAGTGATGTGGTAACTCTGAGTCTAAAGTGAATGGCCAGTGAGATTCAAGGTAGATGATGAGGCATGATGCAAAGCCAGATAAGCTCATTCTGCAGTGTTAATTGTTGAAATAGAACTAATGTCTGCGGAGGTAGAGTTCTTGTATAGCAAAAGCAGCTGAAGTTTGTCTTTCAGGGACCTGAGAGGGAATTCATTTAATTGTGACTGTAAACTGAAGTGGCTGGTGGAATGGCTAGGCCACACCAATGCCACTGTCGAGGACATCTACTGTGAAGGCCCTCCAGAATACAAGAAGCGCAAAATCAATAGTCTCTCCCCAAAGGATTTTGATTGCATCATTACAGGTAATGTATTCCAAATCATTCCACCTCATAAAATTAAAATAAGGACTACATATTTTTGCACGTGCAGGAATTGATATTTTTTATGTCTTAAAAACTAACCAAGCAATTTTAATTTATAAAATATTAAAAACCATTAAATCTTCATGTGCTTAAAAGTAAAATAAAATTTCCATTTTACTATTTCTCTAAAATAAATGTATTTCTTATGGATATCTGCAATCTGGCCAAGGAAAAGGCATTAGCACCCAGTTACTCATCATCATTTCCTATTTTTGCAGAATTTGCTAAGTCTCAAGACCTGCCTTATCAATCACTGTCCATAGACACTTTTTCTTATATGAACGATGAGTATGTAGTCATTGCTCAGCCTTTTACTGGAAAATGCATTTTCCTTGAATGGGACCATGTAGAAAAGACCTTCCGGAATTATGACAATATTACAGGTATGAGTGTATTTTGAGTGGAAATTTAAGCTGCTTGGGCCAAAGGCAGCGGGCAAAGAAGAATGGCATCAGGGAATGCTTTGGGTAGGCTTAATTATTTTGATCTTAATTCTACCATTTACTAAGTGACCTGAAACTGTTCCCTAAACCTTAATTTCCTCACTTGTAAAATGGAAATGACAATGATAATGCCTAACCCATAGGGTTGTTATAAGGCAATGTGATCACATATTCAAGAAACTTAGCATAGGACCTAGCTTAGTAATATACCATAAAAGCTGGAGTATTTTTTTCTTCAAAGAAAAAGTATTGGACTAGGAATCATGAGTTCTAGAAGTCAGCTTTTCCTACAAACTAGCTAGATAAGTCACTGACCTGTACTGGGTCCTTTTCCCCTTAACTATAAAATAAGGAGGTTATCGTAGAGCAATGAATCTCAAAATCTGTTGCACAATTGTTACTTCTATAAAACATTAACAGATGCCTTGTGACAAGAAGGGTTATGTAGTTGAATAAAATTGTAAACTATGTCTCCCTCTAATTCATAATAATATACATTAGTGACTCTCAGAAGTCCTACAGTGAGGAACACTTTCCAGTATTTTTTGCATTTAATTTGACCGTGGAAACCAATTTCTCCATTAAAATTTTTACTTAAGTGATTGTTTAAGTTTCTCATTTTAACAATGTCTAAATTTTTAATTCTTAAATTAGAACATGGGGCTCCCTCTGAAATGTTTTAATTGCTTTAACTTCTATTATTTTTAAATCTGCCCCTTAAAAAGCACTCCAACTTCATCATAACTAGATTTTGTTGATGACCATCAGTCCGATTGCTCAAAGGATAAAAACAGGTCTGGGGTTTGCTTAAGAATGATGTGCCCAGACAAAGGAAACTCCTCCATGTTCAGATCCCCCGAGAAACCCCCTTCTTTCTCTAGGAGAAAGGCTGTACTTTCCTTTCTCCCTTAGCAACCGCCCCATCCCAAGTTTTCCAAAGAACTGCAGCAGGACTTTATACAATCTATATTAGGTTCTTCTTATCTGTGCACAGTCCATCAGTTGTTTTGGATGGAACTTAGATGAGCAGTGAAAGATAAATGGATGATATTGATATTTGCAGATTTTCAGATTTTAAGATGACAGATATGTTACAAATATCACTCTATCATGGTGCTCTTTCTTACAGAGTGCAGCATAGCTATAGAATTCTCAACACAGTTCTCTGAGCAGTCATAATTAATCAATCAATAATCAATATTGGTGCATGGTTAAAATCTAGTGATCATCCCTGATCCAGTCCAAACCTTCATTGTACAGAAGAGAAAACTGAATCCAGAGCAGTTAAGTGATTTTCAACCAATTGATTTCTGAAAAGAGTCATGATAAATTATTTTGCCTATGCATGTAGCCAGTTATCAGAAAGAGTTGATGCAGAATGTATTGCCTCAGAGTCCCTAGATCTTATATCAGAAAAGGTCCTGCTATTTACAGATTTAGGAAGTCAGAAACTATTGATATATGTCAAACTCCTCCAAAAAGACAGGAGGCATGGCCACTGACAGGCCCCATCTCATTTTCTGAGATTTCCCAAAGTAACTTTCAGGAGTATCACCTGTGGCTATACCCTTTTTTTACTTTTCTCACTTGTTCCTTTTTACTCTTCTCTCCTGACCTAAAGCTTCAGAAAAATGATCAATGGCATTTTCTTCCTTTCTTAGAAGAAAGTCAAGTTATTCTAAAGCAAGAAACAGTTCACACTTAGAACAACCAATTACAGGTAGAGCTATGGGCTGCCAGGACCACAGCTCAAAACTTTGTAGGGTTGTTCTAGAAACTTGTGAGATTCTAGCCAAAAAGGGAAGCCTGAGAAGAGCAAATCTCCTACCAGATTGGTTTAAAAACATGGAGGTGGGTTTGAATCCCCACTGTCTCCTGTATGAGTGTCTCCTGGAAGCACTGAAGCTGAACTTCTGTCTGCTCACCTGGAAAGGGGAGGATAATCTCTTAAGATTGTTGGGAAATTTTAATGGAATGATTTTGCAAAGTACACAGTAGGTGCTTAATCAATGGCAGTTTTTACTACAATTATGATATTAACTCTTGATATGTCAGGGAAAGCAATGCTTTTTTTCTGCAAGAAGTGAAAGAAGAAAACCCAGGCTGATGTCGTTTTCTCACCATCTAGTGCAGTGGATGTGAAAAATGGCATCCTAGTTGATGGTTGCAAGTTCTCATGAGATGCAAAGGTATAGAACCTCAGGATCCTGTAGCAAGTGGGCCTAGGAGATTGCCCTTCCTTAATCAACCAAGGAACTCTCTCGTTTCATGCTGATTTTGGTAAAAGTTGTATGGCCTCAGCCTGCATGTTTATATGCTCCAAAAGAGGATGGCCATCCAACTAATCTCTCATTTGTCTTTTCCCAGGCACGTCCACTGTGGTGTGCAAGCCGATAGTCATTGAAACTCAGCTCTATGTTATTGTGGCCCAGCTATTTGGCGGTTCTCACATCTATAAGCGAGACAGTTTTGCAAATAAATTCATAAAAATCCAGGATATTGAAATTCTCAAAATCCGAAAACCCAATGACATTGAAACATTCAAGATTGAAAACAACTGGTACTTTGTTGTTGCTGACAGTTCAAAAGCTGGTTTCACTACCATTTACAAGTGGAATGGAAATGGATTCTACTCCCATCAGTCCTTACATGCGTGGTACAGGGACACTGATGTGGAATATCTAGAAATAGCCAGACCACCTCAGACACTCAGAATGCCTCATTTAATCTTGTCTAGTAGCTCCCAGCGTCCCGTAATTTATCAGTGGAACAAAGCAACACAACTATTCATTAACCAAACTGACATCCCTAACATGGAGGATGTATATGCCGTAAAGCACTTCTCAGTGAAAGGTGATGTGTACATTTGCTTGACAAGATTTATTGGTGATTCCAAAGTCATGAAATGGGGCGGCTCCTCATTTCAGGATATTCAGAGGATGCCATCACGAGGATCCATGGTATTCCAGCCTCTTCAGATAAATAACTATCAATATGCAATTCTTGGAAGTGATTACTCCTTTACTCAAGTGTATAACTGGGATGCAGAGAAAGCCAAATTTGTGAAATTTCAGGAATTAAATGTTCAGGCACCAAGATCATTCACGCATGTGTCCATTAATAAGCGTAATTTTCTTTTTGCTTCCAGTTTTAAGGGAAATACACAGATTTACAAACATGTCATAGTTGACTTAAGCGCATGACACACCAGTTCTGTGGCTGCCATCAGCAACTTTCTACAGTACATGACCGGGATGAACTCAATGCATGATGACTTCTTAGCACACTTGCAAATGAATGCCTTTCAAACATTGAGACTGCTAGAACCAAGCACTACCAGTATCTCCATCCTTAACTGTCCAGTCCAGTGGTGTGGGACGTGACCTTTTATAAGACAAAATTGAATTGTGTAACTGTTCTTTGCAGTGAAGATGTGTACATAAGCGTTTAATGGTAACTGTTACTCCAAAAAGAAATATTAATATGTACTTTTCCATTTATTTATTCATGTGTTGAGAAACAACTGCCAAATAAAATGTTTACATTTTCTTTCATATCCCAAAGGTAATTATTTACAGGAGTTGTTTTATTTTTTGGTGATAGTATGTGGAGGAAATAATTTCATACAACAGGGTTATATTTGGATCAGGAATGTATGGTGTTAATAATAATAGTGAAGATGAAACACTGATATTGGTTACCCATAATTTATAAATAGGCTTATCAGCTGATTTTGGACATTCAAAGGTATTTCCAAAGATCATGGCTTTTGGAACTCTTTGAGGTGAAATGGTGAAAAGAAAGAGAAATTCAACGATTGCAAGAAGACTAGTTTGAAATAGAACAGTAAGACCCAATTTTTTTCTGTCTGATAGTTCCACCTAAAAACATTATGACCAACTTGTAGGAGAAGCTAAAGTCAAGATTTTGGAGTTTAAAAACCGTATTTAAGGACTTTCTAAATGTACAACTCTAGAAATATCTGAGAGTTGAAAGAGATTGTAATCTTATCACACTTGCTTGAAATGCACCTTATATAAAGCCTCTCAATCTGCTTAAGGATGCTTCACTTCTAGACTCTAGTTCTGATACATTACTGACATGCTTCAGAATGCCTAGAAGGCTCATATTTGATTTTCTAAATCCCTTCTCTTGGATCACATGGGTTGTTAGCACCAGCACAATGCCTGTGATACATAGGTTCTCAAAAAATGCTTTTGAAGAAGCACTTGTCCTCCTGTTACAACAATAAACTTTATGAGGCCCTTTGATCTAATCAGTCATATTTATTGGGTACCTATTAAGAATGGGTTATTATTCCAGTGGGGGCAAGGAGGAGAACTGAGGGAGCATAGGGCACTATCCTTGCCCTCTTGGACCTTAAAGGCTAATTGGGTGGTTAGGACACAAAAGCCTACAGAGCCAGTAGTGAGTGTCAAGTACTATCTGATCTCTCTGATTAAAATATCATGGGGGTATCAAAGATGACTAACTGGAAGAAGTCACAGCAGAGTAGATATTCCTGGCACAGTTTTTGTGTGCTGCCTTCATGGAGGGGATCAGATCTCCCTCCATTTCATTATTCCCTGGATTCTTTGCCAAAAGACTGAGTATACTGGGCCTCCCCGGTGGCGCAGCGGTTGAACGCTGGGTTGCGAAACTGCCCGCAGCCTCTGCAGCGCTGGTTCAATCCCTGGCTGCTCCCTGGCCACCGGAGGAGGGTCCCACATGGTGCACAGACCTCTCCTGCTACCTGCTGCTCCCCTCAGCAGTGTACTTTGGTCCTTCTGCCTGCTCTGCTCCCACTCTGGTTCTGGTGAATTCTTTCACCCTCCCGTGCTTCTGACTGTACCCAGTGCTTATATAAATAAATAAAAATAAATCTTTAAAAAAAAAAAAGACTGGGTATAGAGAGTGGGAGAGGGAGAGAAACAGCAATTGCTGCCATATCTGGTGAACTTGAGACATCAGAGGTAGACTTAATAGTCACATAGTCCCTGAGAAGCAATACTTTGGGGAGTTATTCACAGGAACAAGATTCCTTTATCACATGAGGAAGACATTAACTTCAAGGGTTCCGGAGGAAAGATGACTTACCCTCAATCTTGCAGACTGGGAGCACTAGACTTTAAAGGTCTTACATTTTCAGTTCTCTTTTCCAACAGCACAGATGCTGCTGGGGGCACCTGCTTTGTACAGGCTGGGTTTAAGTCCAGTCCTACCATGTATTGGCTTTGTCCACAATTATTTAACTTTGCTGAACCTCAGTTCCTTCATCTGCAAAAGAACAGTGACACCTATTCTACAGGCAGTGGAAGGACTGAATGAGATAATGTGCACATGATGGGTTGATTTTTCTATTAATCATAACAACATCTCCCATCCCACAGACTCTATGAGAACCTTGGCCCTAATGCTCCTATCTCTATGTCTGGGTAGGTTTGTAACTAATAGAATATAGTAAAATGATGCAGTATGGTTTTGAGGCCAGGTCATAAAAATAATAGAGTTTCTGGTTTTTGAATTGGGAAACTTGCTATTGGAGTCCTGAGCTGCCACTTAGAAAGTTCTACTAGACAAAGGCCACCATTGTATGAGGAAGCACAGGCTGTCTTCATCAGCCCCAGCTGAGGTCCTCACCAATAGCCACATTAACCACCAGTCACATGAGAGAAGATGTCTCCAGATGATTCCAGCCTCCTTCTTTCAAGTCACCACTGGCCATCAAGTCTACCTAATTAAGGCCCTGGACATTAAAAGAGAGACAAGGCATATCCATGGCACCCCATCCAAATTTCTGACACACAGATTCTATGAGGATAATAAAATGCTTGTTTTAAATAGCTGAGTTTTGGGGTGATTTGTTACAAGGCAGTGGTCATGGCAACAGCACTCATCAAGCACTAGCTATCGCTAATGGACTCTACACCACAACAGCATATGCTTTTGGGATATCTTCTACCTTATTGTCAATGCACTTCACTGTCATTTCAGTTCTAAAGGATATTTCCTATTTTCAATATGTTATCATTTTTCTTACTCTGTGCCAGGCACTATGGTGAGTTCAGGAATACAGAAATTAAAGAACTAGATATTTTCCTGTTTGCCTTCATAGTAGTATTGACTATTTGAGTCAGAAAATTTACCTTAAGCCTGAGACACAGAAATGCGGAGTGAATTGGGTGAGGTGGGCCTCCTGGCACTGAGCCTTGACCTTTCTCCATCATATGGTGCGACCTTTCAAAACATCTCCCTCCAATGTGAATCTGCCATTGTAGATGGGGAGAGAGACTAGGAATGAGGAGGGTAAGGAGGATATATGGTAAGAAAATTTTTAGGAATTGACCAGTCTTTTCTGAGAGTTTCCCTCTCTCCCTGTGCCCTCATCTAGACTATGCTACGTAACTCTACCCTCTCCCAGCCACAGGTTTCTGGACCTGGAGTGAAAGCCCAGTCCTCTGTTCGACCAAGAAGCTGGACTACACACAACTTGAACCAATCTAGTTCTCTTTCCAGGATATCCACAGAGGGCAGCAGAGACTGGGCCAGTTAGCACAGGCACCAGATTTGTAAGGTCATGTTCCTATGTCAGGTTCCCTGGAAGCAGAGGGATTTACAAAGGTGTGTTCTCAGGTTGCACCTGAAAGGGAGTGAGAGGAGCATAGGCCCGGGGAGATACTATGCAAAGAAATCATTTCAGAAGTCTAGCTTCAGCCCAAACCCACAGGTAACTCCAGAGCATCAATTATACCACAGGCAGTGTCCTGCCTTAAGGCCAGGACACCGCCTGGCCTTTTACTTGCCCTCATCTGACAGTCATTGGCCAAACAATGGGTCGGAGGGGATAAATATTCAGGCGTCTTCAGGAGAAAGTGTTCCAGTTGGTTAAAGGTAATCCTTCAGGTAATTGCATACCTGAGGGCCTAAATCCATACCACAGTTGCCCAGGAGAGGTGCATCAGCCTGATAAAGAACATGTAGGTGGGATGCAACAGCACAGGCCAACAGTGCAGGTGACTGAGGTACAGAAGTCACCATTTGGGAGTGGCACAATGGCCTGTGTCCCAAAAAAGCAGAGGAAGCTAATCCAAAAAGGTGAGAAGAGAATGAAGTAGATGCTCAGAAAAAAAACGCAAAGCTAAGAAACTACATAGTGGGGTGGGGAGAGAGAAAAAAGAGGGGAGAAAGGAGAAGGTGAAAGGGGGGAGGGAGGAAAGAGGGGCAGTAAAAGGGGGGAGAAGGGGTAGCGGTAGGAAGACTAGTGTCCCATGTTGGGCCACCTGAGAATTAGACTCTGAGAAGTCAAGGTACAAACGTCTAATGGGGAGAACTTTTGAAAGCAATATGCAGAAGGGGAGAAGGAAGTAGAATTTGGCAGAAGAAGCTGTGAGCCATGATGAGTTCCAATAAAAGCAGCACTGTAGGGAGCATGAAAGTTGAGATGTTCCTTCTCAGTTGTCCCAAATTGGAGCAAGGGGACATGTGGACTGTCCCTAGAAGAAAGCATGCCCTTAGGTGAGGCTGCTTCTTGAGCAATGGCAATCCCTAAAGAAGGTGGACACTGCCCTCTTCTGTGCCCAACCACTTAAATGCCCTTTCCCTAGTCTTCCACATCCCTCAAAATCTTAATCCTTTTTATCTAGTCAGATGAGTTTTCTCAGGCTTTCTCAGTCATTGTTTTTACCATGAGTAAGACTCATAATTCATTCTGCCTTTCATAATGGTGAGTTGTTGAAAGAACCATCTTTCCCACCAGGTTACCCATCCCAGAGAGTAGGGACTATGTCTTAGGCATCAGATTCTTGTACCCCTCCCCACCCTTAATTTCTAGAGCAATCCTACTTTATAAAGTCCATAAAGTTGGTAGAAATAAACCAGCTTAAGTCCAATGGCTTCAGCCTTGCTGTTTGGATATCTGAGAAGTAGTCATAACCTCTACAGAGCATTCCCAGCCCCAAAAAGAATCCTGACCATGGATCACCCCAAAAGAATAGGCCTACACAGGCCCGCCTGCACCCCCACAGGTAACTGGGGTGGAGTGGAAGGTGAAAGAGATCCAATTTATTTCCCAAGCAAATCCTTATTACAAGTGCAAATTTCAGGTCTACCTAAAACTTGGCCCACAAAACTGAAGCAGAGGAATTGATTTAATTACTTCAGGGAGAGTCAAAGGGCAAGAAGATTGATATGAACACTTTTGGGAAGCCTATGCCCTTTGCAATTTTTATCCCAGAGAGAAATCCAAATCCATAGTCAGCACTACTCAGAGAAGCCCCAGGGGGAGCATTCCCTAGTTGATGCTTTTAACAATAATAATACCTGGCAAAATGTGTCCCAGAAATCAGTCCTCTTAACACAAGCTCCCAGGACAACTGTCCTTTAACCTTCATTTCCTTCTTCCTGTCTACTTATATGTACTTAACTATTCTTTAAAAAACAGAGCAAAACTTTAATATAAGAAATATTCTTCAATATTTCAATTTAATTACTATAATAGTTTACATTTGCTGAGCACTTACTATGAGTCAAGTATTATAGTAAATGCTTTCTCTGTGT